CTTTTCTTTCCCCCCGCCCCTGCCAATGCGATCCACTTCCGCGAGGCGGACTCTTTTCTCTCTTTCTCCTTCGCGCTGTTGCATTATTTCTTCCGCCCCTGTGTTTTTACCACCGATTCTACTCGACGGATCGGTCTCGCCTGTTCTCAGTTATGGGACAATTATTTGTCTATATGGGGGGGGGTCGAGTGCTTCTTGACGTGAGAGCCGGGGCGACATTGGCGGACATGAAAATAGAGAACTTATTGCGCCAAGATCGAATCGCGAAATGATGCGATCTGCGATATGCAATCTCGTGGTAGCGCGGCAAGGCCTCGTTACAGGATCGGAATTATCAGGTCGAATAATCGGATGAGAGAGAGAGAGAGAGAGAGAGTAAAATGTCGAGAGTGCTAGAGTCGAAATAATCTTAATTGCTACACTTAAACTAATTATAATAACGACAATCAAACGAAATATACTTAAGAATGATTTGTACACCGGATTCATCATGAGAGAACAAGTTTATTCGATATATCGCTACCACAGTTCTGACTACACAGTAATCGCTACCTTATAATATACCTTTCATTAGACTATCTTTGATTAGCACTGACTGTTTATCGTGGAGGTAATATACAGGTCTCTACAAACAACTACGTCCGCTTCGCTTCTACGCCTTTCGCTTTGCGAAAATCCAGAGGAATTACGACTTAAACGGAATTATCGTTATCGTTGCCGATCTTACGCATAAACATCAAACTAAATCCATCCCTCGTGATCTCATTTGCTCTTTCGCGCAATTGCATCCGCTCTTCGTGAAAATTCCGAAAATTTTCTCTGCATGAAAATAACGGATTTGATTTGATGATTACGGTAATCGTGCACATGGCAAAAATCTGAAATCGGTTAATGTCGCCGATGAATCAACAAACTTTTTTTTTTTTAAGGCATATAAGAGTAGTAGCCGACTCGAAACGAGTTTCTTCGCGTCACTGCAGCCGAGGATTAAAACCGATATAATCTCGACGAGATCAATTTGATTCAAGAAACATCCTTGACGGCATTACTTTTTTTTTCTTTTTTTTTCT